CGCCAGCGGCTCTTGCACTAACGTGTCCGGTGGGGCCAGGGCAACAAATTCGACTCTGGAGGAAAAAAGGAGGAAGAGAGAAGAGGGACAGAAGGCGCATGATACGAATTTACCCTAAAACGTATCGCCCCTGGGTGTGACAGCAAGGTGGGTGCCAATCCCTACCGACTGGCCCAGACGGCCAAATCAGTGACATCCAGAAGGGGCTTATAGGGAGCCCACCAAATACGTACGTGCCCAACCGCGTAATGAATACGGCCCCGCAATCCGCGATACCAGCCGCGTGATACGAGCGTTCGCGCAATGCGTACTCTCGAACCCGACGTGGATACATGCACGTGTACGTCCTTCATTCGCTCCTGAGCATACCCCTGGACCGCCTGTTTTGGGCGCGAATCACTGCGATGCGATTAACGGGGAGAAGAAAGGTGCCATCGCCGGGCCCTAAAGATCCACGTTGGGGCCCTAAAGGGCTCCTTTAGGGGCCGTGCAGGGCCCCTTTCTGCAGCCCTCGCTCCCCCCCCCCATGTATCTCCCCCCCATTACCCCAGACCCCCGACGTCGTGAATTTTTTTTGCAGCGTCGACCAGCAGAGGTCTGGATCCCTTCCCCGGGACCGGTTCTTCATCCTGAGCCGTTTGCTGGACGGTCCCGAGGTCCTGTTGGGGCCCCTGGAGGCCGAAAATAGCGAAAAACCTCCCGTCGTGATTTTCGCAGCGCGAGGGGGACTGGGATTCTGGGGGCTCGGGGTGGCATTTCCTCCCTCGAACTTGGGCGGTGGCGCCAGAAGCGCCCTCCTCCCGGGCATCTCTCCGACGCGGACGGCCCTCTTCTACGGCGCCCCCGGACCAGACGAGCCGACAACGGCGAACCAAACCTGAGAACTCCTTCCTCGGTGGTTCCAAGATGGGGTCCTGAGGGATGGGGTCCTACGGATGGGAAGGGATCCCAGACCCCCTTTGCGTTGTGAACAAATCGGCCTCCGAGGGGCCCTTAATTTCAGGGCCTCGGGACCGTCAAAAAACGACTCGGGCTGAAAAAACTGTCGCGGGGAAGGGGTCCAGACCTCTGGGGGTCGACGTCGTGAAAAAAACACGACGTCAGGGGGTCCGGGAGAAGTGGGGTCCTGAGGCATGGGGCCCACAGGATAGCAAGGGATCCGAGGGCGGATTTACATTGTCTGAGGCACCGCGTCCTTCCCTGAGATCCGACGCTGCGAAAAAATGCAACATCGTAAAACATCACCCAGACCCCATCCTTCTGCGCCATTCTTCGAGCCAGATCGATATGTGGGGGTCCCGGGGCCCGAAATTGAGCGAACACGCCCGCCGTGACAAAAATTGCAACGCCAGGATCTCAGGGTTAGGCTTAGGTCGGGCATGTCCTCTTACAGGAGGATTTTGGACGGACAAATTAAATATACTCCAAAAACTATTCACAAGTAGACAGAAATAATCGAAACATCGCCCCCATAGTATTTTTTGTGCGATTTTTGAATTCTGCTCCTGTAGAGGGACAGGCCCGACTTAAGGTTAGACCCCCATCCCTCAGGACCCCACCTTTGAACCACCGACTGTCCCTCAGGCACCGCCCTCTGCCTCGTGGCGGGGAGGCGGGTCCTTCTGCCAGGCCGCCCGGCCGAGACCCGCAGGGTCCTCGGGGCCCGCTCCCCTTCCGAGGCCTCCGCAGCCGTGCGGACGAGCGGCCGTTGCCGACAAACCTCAGAACCCCTTCGAAGACCAGGCCAAGGCGGAACATCACACCGGGCGAGGATGCATCGAGAATCTCTGAGATCCGGCGGCCCTGGAAGCTGCCTCGGGCCCCGTTGCATTCTCCGAGCCTTCCTAGACACTCTGAGAGCGTCCCGGAACGCTCTGGAACGGATTGACCCTCATCCTAACCCTGTCCGGCCTTCCCCCCAAGAGCCGCCCTCTTCCTCGCGGCGGCGAGGCGGCCGAGGACTGGAAGGTCTTCGGGGCCCGCTGCCTCCGAGGTCTCGGGAGCAGTGCGGGCGAGTGGTCGCGGCTGTCCCACATCCTCTGCCCCGCCCGCACCACGCCAATTCCGTCTCCGTCTCCACCTCCTCTTCCTCCTCCTCCTCCACCTCGCTCCTCGCTCCTCCTCTTCCCTCATCCTCGTTCCTCCTCTTGTTCCCTCCTCCTCCTCCCTCCACCTCCGCCTCCTCCTCCCTCCTCCCTTCTCCTCCTCCTCGTCCTCCGCCTCCTCCTCCTCCTTCTCCGCCTCCTTCTCCTCCTCCACCAATATCCTTCTCTGTCATACATATATACACATACATACATACACACATACCTGCATGCAGACATGCATGCATGTATGTTTGTACGCATGCGTATATGTATGTATGTATGTATGTATGCATGCATGCATGCATGCATGCATGCATGCATGCATGCATGTATGGATTTATGTATGAATGTGTATATATATATATATGAATGTATGAATGCATGCATGTATGTATGCATACATGTATGTATGTATGTACGTGCATGTGTGTATGCACGTATGTATGTACGTACGCATGTATTCACGTACGTATGTATGTATGTATGTATGTATGTATGTATGTATGTATGTATGTATGTATGTATGTATGTATGTATGGTTGTGTGTGTGTCTATGCGTGTATGTATGCATGTACGTGGTTGCATGCAGGTATTCGTGTGTAGGTGTGTATGTATGCATTCAAGCATTCATGCATGTATTCACATGTGTATGCATGTATGTATGCATGCATGCATGCATGTATGCATGAGTGTATGTATGTGTGCGTGCATGCATGTGTGCATGTATACATATAACGGCGCACCGGGTCCGGGGGCCCGGGGCCGGGACCTCGACCACAAATGTGGGCCCCGGGGGGCCCGGAGGCTCGTCGGACCGCCGGACGCCGTCCAAGCTCGTTCGCAGGCGGCTTCGGAACGCGCTCCGATGGCTCCAGATGCCTTCCAAGACGCCTGTCATGACACCAAGAAGGTCCCAGAAGCCTCCAAGACGCTCCGAGAGGCAGCCCAAGAGAGGCCCAAGAAGCAAAAATCGTGTCATTCCTATGGGAAAACGTATATGTTTCGCATGTTCGCCTCTTGGGCTTTCACCGCGTCCAAGACGGCCCAAGAGGCGCCCAAGACGGTCTACGAGGCCTCCGGGAGCGCTCCAAGGCTGCGCACGAGTGGCCCAGGACGGCCCCAAGACGGCCGAAGAGAGCCCCAAGACGAGTTCGAGGGGGGTCCCAGACGGAGAAAGCCAACCTCGAATTCCGAGCTTCCGGCCCAAGAGGCTCCAGGAGGCGCCAAAATGCCGCCAAGAGGCGCCAAAAGGCCCCCAAAAGCACCCCAAGACGTTCCGAGAGGCACCCCAAGAGAGGTCCAAGAAACAAAAATCGTGCCATTCCTATGGGAAAACGTATATTTTTCGCATGTTCGCATCTTGG